TTCTGAAATCTAAGTTCTATGAATAGAAGGCCGGATAGTTTGATTTACCGCAAGACAGTCACTAGACCACAATATCCCATTCCATTTCAGTCACTTTACCTCGCCGTAACTGATCTAGTCTGGTTCATGTACTCACCCCGTCTTTTACAAAAGATAATCATACTTTTTAGTTCGATTGTTTAACCAAACCAGACTAGGCTGTGGATGTGAGCTTTAAAGAATAAATCTGGCAATAAGAAAGCCAGTCTTTGGCGCCAACTGCCTATTTACGCTTATTACAGGTTAATTCATGCAACCAAATGCTTGTAAACTTTTTTTCGCTTGCTGAGCTTCCCTCAGTATCCCCTTTCATCAAGCAAGTTAAATAAAGCTATGAAGACCAAGATGGTGTAACTCTCGGTATGTTCGAAGTCGCTTTCCGATTTGTATCAGTTGGTTGACCTCGTTTTCGCAATTTGGTCTTGGTGTCGGGGCGACTTGGTTGAACGCACCTTTTCCGATTCCTCTGCAATAGCAGTTATCATAATTCACAATGTCAAACGGTTGACTTGATACATTGTCACACATTTCACCGGCATCGTGGTCGGCATCAGCAGTCTGTCTTGACATTCTCCACGCCAAGATGCAAACTCGTCAAAGAGAAAAGTGAAGTTACATAAAGTTGTCTGTAAATTTAGGCTGGGATGCGATACAGCTTGAGTACAATTTCATCGGAAGTCGTCAATAAATAGTTATTACTGAAAAAATGCTTGTTGTAATCAAATACGCCAGACAATGCCTTTAAGACTTGGCTTCTGGAAGTCAGGGTAGAGAGGAGAAAAAGAAAAAGCGTCTGAAGGTGGGGCTCAACACCCACATCGACGGCGAAGGGATGGGGAGAAATGATGCTTGAATATTGCTCAATTGGAGAAGGCCGAGTAGATTTATGCCCCCTTATCGTGCATTGGGACAGAATATTTCTTCATTGTTGCACTCGATCTCTCCGTTCGTCGGCAAGACACAAAATTTGCAAATAAAAAATCCCTATCAGTTTCTGATCCTGGGCTCGAACTCGCAGATAAATGCCGATTGGAAGACGTGACAGCCATCACCCTGCGATTGTTTGAAGCAGAGCCTCGGTAAGATAATCAGTAAATCTTGAAAACTAATTTCCATAGACTTAGGTACAAGAGTTGAGGTATCCCACAATGAAATTTATAAACCTGAGGGGGCCCTACTTCACATGATGCTTTCTTTTGCCAGCCGGTCTGCAGTTTCAGACTCGCCTGATGTAACCCAATATGACGCATATTTCTTGCATAAATGAGCAGGTTTTCCGAGACTACCAGTAAATCATAAATATCAGTTTTGCTCACCCTATGTCGCTTAAGGTGATGAGGGATTGGTATTTGATTTTCCCACAATGCTATGCGTAGAGCTGACGTTTCCATTCAATTTCACATAGCCTCGCTTTCCCAAAAGGTCTTCACATTCAGGCAGGAGGGGACTGCAGTTTCGACATCGCATGGGTCTTTTCAACACCCCCAGCGCGAGTGGAACCATGAAAACGCAGCTTGTAAGCTCGATACGTCAACGACTAAGCCAGATTGCCACGAGTGTCCTTGGTTGTCAGGGCAAATACGAATTTCAACAAATGTCAGGCATTTTGGGAGTGTCGATGAAGCAAACTTATATTTGCTATAGCAAATTGCTTTTATCGTAAATGAGTAGACTCCAGTGACTACCAGAAAATCAGATATATTAGTTGTTTTCACCCTATTTAGTTTGGGGTAATAAAGGGCTGGTAGTTGATTTTCTCACAATGATATGAATGGGAAAACATCAGCTCTATTCATATCATTGTGGGAAAAATTAGCTGCCAGTCCTTCATCATCGTGAATCTTTTTGCCTCAATTGACTCATTCCTTTGCTGAATCATCGGCAATAATTCATCAACTTAAGGCTCGCCCACAATGCAAACACAGCCCAGCACCATGTACTAAGAATCATCAATTCTAATCTTCAATGCAAGTACAATACATTTAAATATAATATCGTGTGACATTTAGCATGATATCGGTCTTCTTTTGTTGTATAAAACTTGTTTGACTTCGTTTTGGCAACTTTATCAAATTGTCAGAGAGACCTCGATGAACGCGGCTTGCCCAAAGTCTTCAGCTCTGCTTCCTCGTGGTAGTCTACAGCATCGGACCGTGGACTTGGTACATTCCCACATGTTTCACCGACATCCTAGTCGGCATTACCAGTGAGCTCTGCCACCTTTACAACACACTACAACTCTTCGAAGAGACCAGTGAAGTCAATCCTTTAAGCCAGTGGTTCCCAAACTTTTCCTAGTTGCGGCGCCATTTTTCAATTAAAATATTTGCATGGCGCCCTACCCTAAGTATGAATATTCGTAAGTAGGAGATTAAAAAAAGTAAAACTCGTGTATCTTCATTATTTTTTTTACTTTATTAACATTAAATATTATGAGATGTATTCACCCAATTTCGTTTAATGTGATAAAGGACTCATATTACTGATTTACTGGTAGTCTCGAAACAATACTTAAATTCGAGAAATATTGAATATTAATTTAATGTTGATAAAGTAAAAAAAATAATGAAGATACACGAGTTTTATTTATCTATTTTTATCTCTTACTTACGAATAGTCATGCTTAGATTAGGGCGCCATGGAAAAATGTTAATTGAAAAAGGGCGCCGCAACTAGGAAAAGTTTGGGAACCACTGTGCTAAACAGTTGTACTAGCTCTTCTGTCCTGGTACCTTCACCTATTCCATATCCTTGTAACACCGCCTTCACTGTCACTATTTCTAACTCGCTTAGTTCATCCAGGCTCAGTTGCACACTTACAATTGTCTCCTTGACGAGTTGTGACATGCAGCTGAGAATGGCAAGACTCACTGTCGATGCCAACAATTTCAGAGAATGTACCAAGTCCACGGTTCAAAGTTGGACATTATTCTGACACCGTTGTTGACAGTTCGTACAAAGTGCGTTCATCAAGTTCGTCCTGACATAATGATCAAGTTGCCAAAATGAGTTCAAACCATGTCTACGTATAATAATATGATTATAGCTTTTTGAAGACTAAATTGACGTGGCCGTTATTTTGGTTGCAGTCCCTTTTCGCTCTATAACATAGTGAAACTCCTTTTTCCAACTTGCTCCCATTTTCAGAGCGAACTCGATACATAATATGCTTTGTTCTGAGTTATTTGCTCTGTGTAGTCATGACAACCTCCAGTTTCGGACCTTGTACTTATACTATTACAATACGTTTTGCCGGCCTCTTCAGCCAGCTTTGCCATTCTTAGGACCAAGCAACAACTGCTGATGCCGATTGGTACGCCAAACAAGCGCTTTGGAATGCACCAGGCTTACAGTCAGAAGTTTGAAATTGTCATGACTACGCATGGCAAATAACTTCGGACAATCTGCCCTGACGGATCGAGCAAGTTTTAAAAACTTGATCAAACCTATTCTAAATTTTGTTTAGATTTTAATAAGATGTTTTTTCCTTATTTTCCTTAAAATGATGAATGACTAGTAGTTGAATGTTTGCATAATCAATTGAATAGTCCTTTGGTTTCCATTGAATTTCACTTGGCCTTATTTCCCAAAAAGGTATTCTCATCCAGACTCAATTGGACTGCAGTTTCAAACTCATAAGCACATCCAGCAGGATTCGAAAAATGGCAATGCGTTGAGTTTTAGACTTTTCTATTTGGTCCACTCTGGTGACGATATGCTCAGGCTTCTCCGATTGTTGAACCCATAAACCTCATAAACCGGAATTGTGGGTCGACAAGTCTCCCCAACAAACACTAGCACACGATGAAAAAACCTGATAACAACCTGATCTAGAGACGGCGTCTTTAGATTCTTTAAAGAAGGCATGACCGAGGAAACTAATAATCTTTTCTCTTGCAAGATCATAAGGTTCCATTTCTTCAGTAATTCGCCTGTCTTTTGCGAAAACTGGCAGGACGATTGCATCAGAAACTCGGACGAAGAGTTGTCTAATCTCCTATTCTGCCCCAAATTGTTGTCTCCTTCGAAGCCCAGCTTCTTTTCATATCTCAGAATGGGTATGCAGACCACTGTTTTCGAAATGCATCCGTCTGCACCAAGACCAAGAAAATGATGGCCAGGCAATTTAATCACATACGATTTTTAAAAGTATATTACTCGCATATTATTATTTCTAAGTTTTTTTGTATGCACAGACCAAATCTACCACTTAGAGCCAAGCGGAATCTTATGAGCTACTCATAATTTGGTTGAAGAAAGCTTCCCACAAAACATTTTAAGATTACAAAATTCGATGAATACAAAAAGCAGACAATTGTTTATAATTTGGCCCTCGAGATTATCAGTAGATCGTATATTTATATAAATATATATTCACCCTATTTCGTTTAAGATGATGAAGAGGCTGGTGGTTAACTTTTTCCAGAATCGTCTGAGCTGGTCTCCTCAGCACACCCAGTGGGACTCGAGCCATAAGAGTGCAGCGTGTACCTTCGACACGTTCACCCCCAGGCCACATTGCCATGAATGCCCTTGGACCGCAGGGCCGATGAGAATTTTAAGAAATGTTTCCACTTCACATTCCATAGTCGGATTGTCGATGAGACAATTGACAACATTACTCATTTGTCGTTTGTAAGTGGGATTTCTAGGCTACCAGTAAATTAGATAACGAGGTGTGTTAATGCTGAAAGTGGACTGGAGCACCTGAAATCGATCAGTTGTATCCAAAAGAGTTAAAATCTAAATAAAATGTTTGCAGGCCTAGTTTCAAAGGGTGTTTGGCTTGCCAAAATCCCGGGTTCGAGCTCCAACTGTTACATTTACGGACTTAGTAACAGAAACACTATACATTTCATGTGATTATTTGTCGTTGTTGCTGTTGTTATTGTTATTGTTATTGCTACGAATTGTCATGCCCAGGTGACAAGGGCTCCCTCACGTATACCAGTAAGACACGCATGATCCGACCTTTTCTGAGCGAAGTGAAGACCGAAGGTGGTGTCAGCAGCTACGAGATACGCGACTTGACGCCTGGCGCCACCTACGATCTCGAACTGTACGCCACCAACTCGATAAAGCAGAATACAACCAAAGAGTTCATCTTCCAGACGCCTCTTGATCCAGCCCAGATGGGTCGCATAGTTGCCGAGGCCAAGGTTTTCTTCAGGGTCTACTCAAACCAAGCCTATCGACTAGAAAGGCCCATTTTCCTGCTCCTCCTCGCAGCATCTCTGCCCTCTTATCTCGCGCCAACCCTTCCCTTTCTGTAGCGCCATCAACAATCTGTCATCATGACATCGCCTCCTTTCTCCAACGGTAGAGACATGTATTTATCCCACTCGAGTATAAGCCCTGGCCCAGACATTCTGTATGCCGTGAGGAGATGATGGCTGGCAAAAAAGACGTTTTCTGTCTCCGGAACTACTGCTTTATTGTTACTGCCAATGTGAGCTATTTCTTTTGTCTTCATATTTTAGTGCCAGAATTCGCTCAGAA